ACTTTGATGGGCATTATAATATTATCTATTAGCCAGTTCAACTCTTGTAAGCTTTACTTTGATAAGGCATAAATAGCATCAATTACACTATGTTTGGATTTAGAGAAATGAAGGAAATTGTCATAACTTGTTTGGATAGCATATGGAAAAAGGAAAGGGGAGAAAAATTGGAATGATCCATTTTCCTTCCCCTTTAATAAACCAAATCCTTTCAATATTGAAAAGATTTAGAAAGATCTAAGCTCACCCTCTCCTCTCTCCTTCCTTTCCTTCCCTTTCTCCCTTCCCTTTCCCTTCATAATTTCCATCCAACCATAGTGTTATGGATAACTTAAAATTGGTAAAGCTTGATATTGAGCAATTGCTACAAATCTTAAACTCAAAATTCCTACATACCTGGACAGTCTGTTCGTTGGTCTTAGAATGAGAATCAAATCTCTCTAGTGTCAATCCATCAGTCCATTTCTTTTTGTGAAGGTTCAATAACATCTTCTCCTCTAGTTCGTTCTTCCTGTAGTTGATGGCTATGGAATAGTAATGTCTGTTCAGCCCATGGATCAATGCCTGGAAAGGACGTAGCAATCAGAGAGAGAACTATAATTGTCAAATGCAAATATGAATATCCATACAAAATCCAGTCCCCCACTCACCTGAATAGATGGTTTATTAAGATGTCCAAGGTTGGATGTTGTCTGACGAGGCTCTTGACCAAGCATCATGGTCTGTGGGTTGATCAAACGAAAGGCATCAATAACAACCTTCCCCTTGACACTCTGTATTGGATCCACCACTACAGCAACAGCTCTTTGATTTAAAGCTTCAAAACTCTGCAGTCATTAAGCAAAAGTTGACAGAGTTAATTGAAAACTAGCCTTCTTATTGTTAATGAGATAGTTAAAGATAAAACACATACTAGAAAGCAGAGTTGATACAACTATTTTATTGTTTGAATGAAGTATTGACAAATGTCAACAGTAAATAAAGTTATCAGAACTCAGAAGACTAACAGCACATAAAAAAACACATGTATATGCAGATTGGAGATTAGAGGGGGAACAGTACTTTGATCCACCAGAGCCCAGTCTAATTGGGTCATAGACACCCAACAATCAACACTAGCAGCACCAAAAATGGAGGAGAATCATGGAAGAACATCAAATTACTATCCCGTGCATTGACAAATTCTTCCCAAGCCCATAAATGTATAACACTACCATCATCCAAAACAAATGACTAGCTCCTTAAAACTGCTGCGAAAACACAGGGACTGGACCATGCTCAGAGGACATGTAGAGAAGCCAATAACTAGCAGCAATTAACCAATTAAAGCTAAAATAAATTATTCAGACCTGTTGAGTGTTGATATCTACGCCAGAAAGCCAGCAACCAAATCCAGGATGCGAGTGGTACCATCCAACAACCATCTCTGGCCTGTAAAACAAGGAAATAATATTTAACGCAGCTAATTCACAGAAAGAATGAAAAGCATACAGTGTCAACACAAAAAAAAATTTAATTGAATACAGTAGCAAAGAACATATACTGAAAAATTACATTTTCCTAATTGAACCAATGCTGTAATGGAATAAAGATATATACTGCAAACAAATAATCCGCTGAATAAAAGGAAGACAGGAACCAACCCCAAAGGTAAGGCCCAAGTAGCTAACAGTAGTCAAGTAAAAGAATGTAACAAACAAGCTTATTCCACATGATATCATTTGTATACAAAGAGAAAAGAACCCATGTGTAAATTGGAAGTAGAAAGGGATAAGTCCTGGAATTAAGTTGGATTGGATTATAGGTAAATGCCATAAAGGGGTAATAAAATTCAGACAAAAGAAAATAAAGGTTACAAGAGGTGGTTGCAAGGGAGATTAAGTATTGAAAATTTGAAAGTGTAATAAGAAAGAAGAGAGGAGGAAACTATTACCCTCCATGGTAGAGGTGGGTAACTTCTCTACTAACATTACAAGGTTAACATTTTCTATATTCTTTGATACTAGCACTACCATATTCCCTCTGAGCATGTAAAAAGTATGAGCCCAAAAAAAAAAAACCTCATTCCAGGTGTTTAGTTTAGGCCCATAACAATAACCTAAGCGAGCCCTAACCCAAGCATGCCCATAAAAGGTATATACACTCCGATCTAGTTGATAGGGAAAACTAACACAATATAGTTGCAAAACGTAATGGTGTGAATTGTGATTCAATAACATATGAAGCATATAAGCAAGAAATAGATCAAAGAGAAGACTATCAACGACTCTCTCTCATTCCAAAGCATTGGAATACTATAAGGTGGTATCAATTCTTCAATCTTGGTCAAAGTGAAGGAGAAGACATTCACCAGAAATGCAATAGCTAAAGGATTGCTTCAAGGTTTATATATATATATATATATTTTAAGCTTAGTCACTAGTTAGATCGTTGAAATAGTGAACCAGAAAATGTTAAAAAGAAAGCTAGGGGGCATAGCATGTAAATAACTCATTAACCAACCCATGTCTTACTAAAAACATAGAAGAATAGCCGAGTTTGACTTGTAAGAGAGAGAAATAGTTGAAATTCAACAAGAAGTAAAGCCAGATGCCACTACTTTCTCTCTTCAGCTTTTCCCTCTACTTCATGACAAAATACTTTGAAATGCTTCAAAAAAATGAGAACACAATCATGAAATCTAGAAAGACGGAACACAATTTTTGTGTTTCTCAAAAGCACAAATAAATATAATCCATGAATAAAAGTAATATATATAACGAGTAGGTTACAACAATCAACAATTAGAACCTATCATACATGATTTGTGCTTAAACAGTAAAGGAGAATTGACCCACACCGAGAACAGACAAATCTAGCATAAACAGAAAAACTTTGAGCACCACAAGTTTAAATTTAAAGGATGAACATCATATTAAATATCCATGATACAGCAGGTAACAGCAGAACAATCCACAAAAATTAGAATATTTTAGACCAGCAGACAGTTAACAACAAGAAGCACTAAAATCTATCAGCAAAGTGGAACAATAATACTTGCTATAAGGATTTCTAATATACACAACCATACAAAGGTTTGAAAATCATGCTGCGCTAAAACCTTCTGAAAAAATTCCAACTAGCTTCAAAATGATTCAAGTATTCAACCAAACCAAAGAGCTAAGCTTATAAAGATATGGAGGCAATGCCGTACCAACCATATTATACTCTTTCTAGCTTAAAAATCTTAGCGAAATGCCAAAATCATATTCCATGAACCTAACAATCTAACACCTACTAGAGAAAATGAAAATGAACATCTGCCCTCTCAACCTTCGGTTTTGCATTCTCAATCATCTTCAAGAAGGGGTCTTCATAATTTTTTCCCCGCCTCAAACTTCAAAACCACAGAGACACCACAGAGATTGCATAAACTCCAAATTTATAGTATATCCACGTCCTCGTTGACATAAAATGCGAGTCACACTTCGACAGCCTTGTTTTATGTACCTTAGACTTATTCATTTCAAATAAATGCAAACACGAAGCTAAATTCTAAGTTTATATCCAAAAAATTTCAATATATACAGATTTGAATTGTTTCGAAACAACTCTACTAATTTCAAATTAGTAATTAAACATCCTAAGTTACAAATACATCAAGTTATAAATTATTTGCGAGAAAACAAATCCCCAATTCTTTCGATAAGACTACTGTAGATGGAATAAAGAAGCTGATCTGCTAAATATAAATAACATTTACAAAAATCTAGCACAATTCAAGACAAAAACCCTAAAAAAATCAAAAAAGAAAAGAATACCTTCCAGTTTGCTTAAGCATATCAAGCATGTTAGTCTGGAAAACATGGTCAACAGCTTCAACACTTACACCAGTACCACTCTGCGGCATAGCGAAAACATCAACAACCCTAACAGTATACTCATCCACAAATTCACCCAACATCAATCCCATTACTTCCATAGGTACACCAGCTCTACCTACAAATCCAATTCAAAATTAAAATCCAATTCATAAAATCCCAAATCAAAACTATAAAATTAAATGCGAAAAATTAGGGTTTTGAAAAATCACCATGTTTGAGCATCTTAAGGAGAGCGAGGGAGGAGATGTAGACTTGTTCGGAGGTGTCGAGGGTTGGAGAATCAGGAGGTGGGTGGCCGAGTGCTCCTCCTGCGCCGGCGAACATTCTGGTGAGTCTATCCATCGTATTCTCTCTGGTTTACTGGAAATCAGGAGGTGGATGTGTTTCGATTTGTTTTTAACAGAGAGAAGTGAAAGATCGGAATCGTTTTTTCTTTTTGTGCACGAAACTGAATATAGATGGTACGATGGCAATGTTAGATGGATATCCGTTAATTCGATTCACCCGTTTAAAATAAATGATTGAAAATCTAAAATAAACGGACGGAGTGGATGACTGATCAGATCGGATCGGATGTGAATAAAGATTTTTTCACCCGCTAACCATCCACCCACCAGTTTAATAAATGTAAAGAATTTTAATCTAAGAATTTTAATTAAAAAATTTTAAAATATACAATAAAAATACTTTATTTTGTTGCAAATTAGTTTTTTCAACAATTATGTAGTTAGTGTTTCCTTTTTATTTGAAAAATATTAATAATTCATGGTAAAAATAACCATAAATTAAATTTTATGTGAAATTTCTTTTCATAAAATGTTCATCCATTAGTCACCCAACCCACCCGTTTTATCCGCGGATGATTGATGGACGGATATGGATGTTGGTTGAAGCGGGTGATGGATGGATGTGGATGAAGCAATTGGAATGATGAATGGATGCGGGTGAAGCTCCATCCAATCCGAATCTGATCCATTGTCATCTCTACATACAAGTAGAGGTCTAGAGGAGGTGTAATACCCCAAATTTTTTTAGTATATTTAATCAACGATTTTTCTATAATAAACTTGTAAATTTATAATTATTTTCAAATTAAAATATTATAGTAAAAAAAAATATTATTATTATTATTTTCGGATTTATTTAAAAAAAAATGGAAAACTGATTTTATCAGTTGGTTGTTTCGGATTGAAACAAGAAACAACTCTATTTGAATTTTAACCTTATCCTTCATATGAGTCTTCTAGATACATAATTAATCCCTAGGTATACTTAATGTATAAATATCTCATCCCATCCCAATTGTCGTGAGGAAACCATTGAACCCTCGAGAAGCTATTTTCTCCGATTGCGTTGTTCGCTAAAACCCCTTACCATAGTTGTCTTTGGTATAAAGGTAAGCCATGTTTCTTCTCCTCTTTCCATCCATTTTAGATGAATTATTACCTCCTTTAGTTGAGCATAGGAACTTGATATTCTCAAATCGTCATTAATGTTCGATGATGATGTACTTCAAGTCTTCGCCCATGCTTAATCCGCTTCATATATATATATATATATATACTATGTCCTTTTAATTCCTTTCGTATCAAATGGTATGTGAAACTCAAACCCACTGAGTTTGGAACTCAGTAATTCAACTCGTCACCCATTTCCTTCTTGTTTTTGGTTTCTTAATCATGTCAATTGATTTTACCTTTAATCTTTGTTTTAACGAAACTAATGGCTAGCCTACAAAATTTGACTTCAATATTTGTTTTTTTACTCAATCTACCAATTAGTTGTTTACTTTTGGGGTAATTAGATTATGGGTGGTAATATAATAATCTTACACCCAACTTTTCTATTAATAGTATAATTATCTAACTTAGGCCATTTATTTGTTTAATTGTAGATGGAGGCTACTAGGTGAACGTTTCGGAGGTTATTTATCTTGAGCGCCACTCAAGGTAATTTTCAATGTCCATCATCTCTAGAATCTCGTTAGGAAATTTATTTCGATTTATTGTATGTGCTTGTATGTGATGAGTGCATTAATTAACGTATGATACTACGGGGTCATATTTTTTATATCTTTATATTTTGTGTACTAGTATAAGTATTCTCGAAAAATTGATTAATCGGTATCGTATAAGTATTTTTTTTTAAATACTAGGAATTGGTCGATTGATTATATGTGATTGATGGTCTCCAAGGCCTATTGGGAAACGAGTTGTAACTAGTATGTCATGTAAAATGACTATGTTCTAATAGTATCTGATTTTGGGAGTTTTCTCTCTTTTCTTGTTTCTGATTTATTTTGCAGGTTGGTAAAAGGGTATTCGGTTACGTTAGAATAATCACGTAGCTAAGACAATTTAGTTTAATTCCGAACTTATTTATTTTGCTTTTTAATTAATGTTTTTTTTTTTTTTTTGTAAATGTTTTACAGTTTGGATGTAACGACTATTTTATTCTTGCCGCCACTTGGATCACTTAGTTTATAAAATGGTATTTTGTTTCGCTTTGCATTTATTTTCTATGGAAAATAAATGTAGCAGTAACACTCCCAAGGTTCGATGGTTGGTTTTGAAAGGTAAAAAGGGTTACTCTTATCGTTTTACAAAGACCCGAATTTTGGGGGTGTTACAGGAGGTGTCAAAACGGAATTAATGAATAATTAATATTACAGCTGATTAATTGAATAATTAATATTACAGCTTAATCGTGACTGAACCCTTCCGGTCACACCCAATTGTGTAACCGAACCGAAGCGACGAATTAATTCGAAAGATTAAATATGTCGATAAAGATTCTACGAACTAAGACGTCGGATTCCATGCTTAAAGCGTCAAAACCAAACGTCGTGCGTCGAGTCGATTTTAGGAATTGACGAAGACGAGAAAAGTAATCAAATGATGTATCGTGCTAAAATTACAAGGATAGCACGTGCCCTAGCCACGCCTCAGATCAAAGGCATGTGGCTAGGGGCCGTAAGCAAGAAGTACCAAGCCACCACAGCCATCGCAAGGCCTTGCTAGGCTAACCATTGCGTGCGGGCTAGCTGGGGCAACCTAGTGGGCCTACATAGCGAGGCCAACAACAAGGTTGGCGCTTGCGTGCTGCTACTATGGCCACGCCGCTGTTGCTGAGCCTGTGTTGATGCTGCTGCGTGCTGCGGTAGGCGCATGGGCCTGCTAGCTATAAGCGTGGGCTTGCGACTAAGGGCCAGTAGTCCTAGCCTTGTGGTGCAAGGCTGGCCTTGCTGCCCAAGGCTGGGCAGCTGCCCAGCCTAGCTGACCAAAGTGGGTGGGGGCAGCCCTTGCCATGTTCTCCAAGGTCAAGTTGGTCCTCCCACCTACTCCCTCTTTGTGTGATGACACTTGTCATTTGGTTATTGTTTCATGGTTTTTAATTTAATTTAGAATTAAATTAAATCTAAATTTTGCATTTTTACCAACTATCCCACATTAAAAGATGATGGGAATTCTTGGAAACAAATCCCTATAGATACCAATCATTTGGCATTGGGAACTTCACTTGAGTTGGTGAACTTTTAAGGGATCTCCAAAAGCGAGAAAACCTTTGTTCGTAAACTCTATGTTATTTTTGGTCTAGCCTCGACTAAGCTTCAGGGTAGGGACCGGTTACGGTTCGGTAGCGAGGGTGTGAGCCGTTGGAGGTTCTCGCACTTGCGAAACTTAAACCATTCAAGTCCGAGCTCAACGGTATAGCGAAGCACGCTTCTAGGGTGAGCACTCTTTCTCTCTCCTCTCTCTTCTCTTATGTTTATGTTTATTTGCATTCTTTTACTTATGTTGTAATTATTACACATGCGATCCGGTTATCGGGTTTTATTTCCGCGCGGTGTTCGACACTACAAAACCCAACAATTTTCATTATTTTTGAGTCGAAATCGGGGTTTGTAGGCCAAAAATAGCATAAATGTGATTTTAATCTAATTAAAAACGACGTCCTAATCTAATTAGGATGCTAAACCAGAAATTTAAATCCATTTAAATCACCTTAATTAATTATTAGTCACAATAATTAAATGCACGCGGCTCGTGATACCGATGTAAGGTTTTGCGGTGTCTAACACCGTGCGGAAACAAAACCCGCCTAAAGATCTGTGCATAAATTAAAGCAACTAAACATGCATGCAATTAATTAAACAATAAACACATAATAATAAAGAGAGAGAGAGGAAAAGACGATCATACCCTTGATGCGTGTTTTCCACTTAGCACGAGCATGAACTCACGAACGGAGACAGAGCCTCAAACGCTACCCCTCAAACGTAGTCCACCCACGTGCCCAAACTTGGCTAATATTATCGCCTAGGGTAATATTAACAGTACTTACAAGAGGATCTCTTTATAAGGTTTTCTCAATGGAGATGCCTTGTATAGAGTTCAACTCTTGCGATGATTCCCAAGGGAGGCCTTGGGTATTATAGGAGAAGCATCTCCATTCCCTTGATTTCCAATCAATGTAGGACTTTGCAAAGTTGAGAAATAAGTGCTTTTAATTTAATTCTAAAATAAATTAAAATACAAATGACAAATAATCAAACAACAAGTGACACAAACATGGGAAGGTTAGGTGATGACCATAAAGGAGGACCACAAGGCCCTCTTTGCTCCCCAAGCAAAACTGGGCCCAATAAAGTGTGGCTAGTTGGCAGTTGCCTTGAGCAGCAAGGCCTGCCCACGCTGGTAGCCTTGTGATCTCGCGCGCTTGTGGGCGCTGCTGGGTGATGCTATCGCAAGCAATGCTCATCAGGCGCAACGCTTACTAGTGAGGCCCATCACACTATGCTAGCTGCTGACCTTGCTAGCTCGTGCTGGCAAGGCCCGCACTCGGCCAGCATGCCCAGCTCGCCCATGCGCGTGGATTGCTAGGCTTGCGGCCAGTGCTAGCGAGCAGCATGCACTCGGCCAGCAGGCCTAACTAGTGCATGCGCGCACCAAGCTAGGCTTACGACCATTGCTTGCTTGTGGCTACTTGTGCTAGCCTAGCCCTCGCATGGCTAGGCTATTACGAGGTTAGGGCTATGCACTTTAACTTTATTATTGTTGTTCGTTTTATTTGTTCGTCTCGTTAATTCCTAGAATTTAACTCGACGTTCGTCGTTCGGCTTCGACGCTCTTAGCTCGGAATCCGACGTCGGAGTACGTATCCTCTTGTTTGACGTATTAAGGCCATCGACTTAATTCGTCGCTTTAGTTTGGTTGCACGCTTTGGTGTGATCGGAGATGGCCTCTAGCTTGACTTTTCGATCACTCGACTTTACTGAATAATTAACTCCGTAATTATTCTGAACCCTTTATCGGAATAATACACTTATTCGAAGGACACCATTCCTTTCAGGTGCCGCGAAACAAAACCCTAGAATATTGCCGCGTCACGGCATATTCTGCCGTGACATGGCAAAGACTGTTGTGGCATAGTATTTCTGCCGTTACACGAAAAATCCCTTTTCTGGAATTTCGTCCAAATTCAATTTTATCTTTTTGTTTAACATTTAATCACGTGATGATTAGGCATTGTTTCAGCTGTTCCGGACTTATTTTAGGTTTAGGGTTTTTATATTTATAAATCGGGCTTAATTAATAAATATAAATGAAATTGATTAAAAAGGTTTTGGGCTGAAATGAGGGTTGGAGTATGCTTTGACCAAATACTTGGAATGATCTGTTGACTGATTTGTAAGCTGTGTTTGACTGAATGTGGGTTTTAAGCACTCCCGAGATTATTTGACCTGACCAATAATGGTGGTGAAAGATTGTTCATCATCGGGTTTGGTTTTGGGGAGACATTTTTAGGTATCTACAGAAGCCCCCACTTTGACTGAGTTTGTAGAAACGTAAGTTTCAAAAACGATAGTCAAAGTAGTCGATAGGGACGGAGAATGACTTAACACATCTGGCGATCCTAAATCACTCTGTATACGTCGATACCTGTAGAAAAGCGTTAGTTCCACAGATAAAAGAGCAAAGGGTATAGATAGCGTATCTGACACCAGTGCATGGCAACAAACACGTTTGGTAGTTTTTTTACGCCTTGAGAAATCCACCGAATGATAATTTTCCACACCTCAGAAATATTGATATGATATAGTTTCCATGCCTTGGGAACTCTATCGGATGATAATTTTCCATGCCTCGGGAAGACTAATATGAGATAGTTTCCACGCCTTGGGAACTCTATCGTGAGCTCCTACGCCTCGAGCAACTCACCAGTGAAATACTCCAGAAATAACACTAAGCGTCCACGCCTTGGGACACAATCGCCGACTTCTATGCCTTGAGAAGTGTGCAACGATTGACAGTTTTCCACGCCTTGGGAAAAGCTTGTCTGGTGATGAAAAATTACAAGTCTCTGTGTCTCAAGAACCTTGTAACGTGAATCGTCCACGCCTTGGGAGATGATCACTAGGTGTTTGATAAATGTTTGATGACGATTGTTCAATTGTGTCTGAACAAAGACTGTAGTATGTTTGTTGATGTTGAGACCTTCAAGCCGAGTATATTCGACTGTATTAGGTGCTCATAATGATGAGAGTATGATATTGATATTTGCTGAGGGAAAAATGGTAATTTTGTTACCATTTAAATATCAGTTAGAATTTCCCGCGAGTTTTTGGTGAAGAAACAACTGCCGAATAATTGCGGAAATCCGTTCAAACTGGTCAAAGAACATGGGGAATTTTCGCTGAAAATTTGCTGAACACGCAGGTTTGCCGTGTCACGTGGTGAATTGCCGTGACACGGTAATTTTTGCCGTTACGCGGCGAGGACGTCGTGACACGGCAAATTGAGCTTCAGTTTAAATTCTGGAAAAACCTGATTCTTTACATTTCCACTTCATTTTTTCGTCGCTCGAGCTTTCTTGTTGTTGCTGCTGCTATTTTCGAACGGTTCTCACTCAATTCTTCACCAAATTACCTCAAATCTTTTGCAAAGTTTCTCATTTTTGCATCTCTAATCAAATCCATGTAAGTTTTTTAGCTTTTGTATTGGTTTTGGCCGAAAATTGATGAATTTTTTACATGAAGAACCCTAAAAATCGAATTGTGGTTTTTGATTTTGAGCTTTTTACGTTGAAATTCTTGTTATAACTTTCCTTATTTATGAATGTATATTGGTTTGTGAGGAATTTGAGACCAAGTTTGCGTGATTTGGTGAAGAAATGAAGAATTCACCATTTTTTATACTACTTTGTTCGTGAATGGTGTTCTTAATGTTATTCTTGTTGTTTTGCACTTGAAATGTTAATGTAATTGATGTAGATCTTATGAAAAATGCTTTGATATGCAGATCTGTTGTTTTTGTGCAATTTTGAAACATGCTCTGTGTTTCGGGGTTTTTGGAGTCCCTCGCGAGAGTTACAATTCTAAGAATGTGTGTCGACCGTCTGTACCACAGAAACTCCGTGTCAGCACGTGATTGGGCCACGTCGACAGGGTATTTTTACCCTAAACATTTGCCCCTTATAGATGTGACGTGGCTTGCCACGTGGCACCTGTGACAGGTGTCATGCTCTGAGAAGGTGACGTTTCGCTTCCTCTCTCTCCTTTTTTTTTTGAATTCGAATTTGAATTTGAATTGGAAGGTGACGGTTCGTCTTCTGGGTATCTCTATAAGTAGAGACCCCCTCCCCTCATTTTCACACTTTGCA